CCTTCAACAACCCCAGCCACAGAAGACGAGAAGTTATCTTTGAAGATCACCTCACCAGTGCGATCACTGCGAGCATCAATCTAGACAGGGAATGATCTCATTTGATCAGTACTGCAAAACCTTGTTAAGGAAAATGTGAGTGTCATTGCTAAAAGACTGACCTTTCCATTGGACCACCCAGTTATGAGCTCAACAACACCATCGTCATTAAGATCAAAGGCATGAATACTCATAGCGTGGTTTTTAGACTGTAAGAAAAAAATAAGACACTATATCAATATACTTGGTTTCCAACTCATTTATGTTGATGAATAATCATGCTCGTTTAGGAAAAATGGCTGATTCAGGTTTAGTTTTGAATGGAGCACAATATACTACCTTGATCCTCCAGTAGCGGGCAGTGCGGTCATATACTCCGACTGTACCATTGGCCAAAGCATAACCAAACCTGCTGCCGTGCATGTGACAAAGCGACGTGACTGTCTGAAAGGAACAGAAAGCAACAACTGTATAAATAAGAAAAAAATTCCCACCGAAAGCAACAATAGTATAAATAAGAAAGAAATCCCCCAAAATTGCCCAATTATCAACCAGCAATGTCTCAGACTATTTTCATAATTCATACCTCATTTTCTGCCATCTCAGTCACTAGTTCATCCTCTCTAAACACCCTGATGTCAAAGTCCTCTGAGCCAACAAGAAGCTGGAAAGATGGGATGTATGGTCAATTTATAAAAGCAGTATTTTATAATAACTTAGAAAACTTGTCATTATGAAGAGAAAATTAAAAGTATAATGGCTCACCTCATTCTTGCCATCGGCAGTAAAGTCACAAAGCACAAGTGATCGTACATTATCTCCAGTGACCTTTAAAAAAAAAATAAAGGTTTATCTATAAATATCCTTTTTTGTCAAATATATATTGAAAACAGAAATTGAAATAATCTTACTGTCCAGAACTGGTCATTTCCCTCAAAGTCAAAGCCTTGCAGAGCACAATTTCCTCCAATAATGGCGAGGGGGTACTGGATATCTCCTAGTTCTCCCAGAACAATGGCATTGGCCCCATCAGTCACCTGTTATACGATAAGCATGTGACAAACATTTCTGTCTTACTTGGATAAGAACCACTCATATTAATCTATCTATTAATCTCCTGATATCAGTGACCTAAGAAATCCACTCTAAATTAAGGATTTTATTTTTTTTAAATGTAGCTGTATACTGTATATGAGACGTGCCACATAAACCTCGCCTTACCTCCTTGTAAAAGATGTCAGTGTTGTCATGCACATCATAGGCCAACAGGTTGGTCTGAGAGCCTACAAGCAGTGTGTGTCCTGTGGTGTTGGGTCCCAGAGTACCAGCCGTCAGACAGCTGACTGCCTGGTTGATATTGAGGAGTGAGATATCGGAGTCCTGGGTACTCTGACTCAGCCGATGGGCTGCTGGTCTCTGGCCTCGAGTGTGAGGGTTATGGATAAAAACCTGCATGGGTTTAGAAGTTAGACTTGATGACGTGACCGTATGGAAAAACACAAATAGGTATATTATGTAGAAGATACTATGGAAGCTTGTTTCAGCCACAGTAATTACCATTTTTTTTCTCTAACAGTTCTGACTTTTTTCAGAATTGCGAGATATAAACCAAGAGTGAAAAATTTAAGGGGGTCTGAATACTTTCCGTACCCACTGTAAACACAGTGAATGCTTGTCAAAATAAAAAACAACATTGCTGGTGGAAAAGCTGAAGACTACATAAACATTGGCATAGTTAAGAGCTCTATGAAGTCCATTGTAATAAAATACAACAGCCAAGGCACTACTGAGATCAGGCTTTGCTGCCAAGGTGAGCAAATACTGTCAGAGAAAAAAATGGCACTTGTCAGAAGAAAACAAGCTTTCTGCATGAATATTCTTGAACAAAACATGTGCTTTGTAAATTTGTTGAATTTGCTATTGACGCCAAGGAATGAATAACTATTACAATGAATAATACAATACAATACTTTTAACTTACCTTCCCTGCTTGTGTGGCTGCTGTGAGGCATGGGTGTATCCCATCATATTTTCCAATGGCAACCATTCGAGGGTTAATTTTATGATTAAGTTTAAGAGTAAAGATGGGCACTAACATGGTGGCACAACAGTAAGATCCGATCTGTTACTAAAAAAAAAAGAAAAGAAAAAAGTGAAAACACCATAAACATGTTACAACAATGGCTTGGTGAACATTCACAGAATTAACTACAAAAAACAAAACAAAAAAACAATCAACCATCAATGATGCGGCATTATTGTAAAATAACATGTATACATATATACATATATATATATATATATATATTAAAAAAAGATAATTTACTGAGTTTTGAAAATTTTATCTACAATTTTTCATTTCTAATATTCATTTTTTTTAATGAGTAAATTGTTTGCTCTTATGGTTATTTGTCAATTTACAGTATAATGAAACAAGAAAAAAAAAAGGAAATTACTACAAGGGGTGCAAAAAGCAATAATTAGGGTACCAAGAAGTAAAACAGCCTTTGTCAGTAATTATGAAATGATTTACCCATGGAATTCAAAAGACAAACAAAATTGAAATAATTTAATATAGCTATTAAAACCGCCTTAAACAGAATTATTAATTTGATCATTCATTATTTTATTAGGGTTTACATAATTGGTCATTTGTTAATTTTATATATTACTATGTTGAAATTTTGATTGGATGCTGATTGATGTTGTTTCCTAGGTCCACACTAAAAGCCTAACCAGGGAAGAGTGCTGCATATTAGCTATTAGCTAAAGGCATATAGAACATTTGCTGCTCAACACTGCGCAGTAATGTTACTCTGTATGGTCCCTGTCAACGAAATAATCGTTTACATAAATAGAATGCATATAAATGAACTGAAATGCCTATTTGGGTAAAGAATGATGAGACATCCAACCAGCTGACTGTATTCAGGCTTTAGTAGTGCTTTCTGTAGCCCATCTAACTACCCCTTCTGTCTGGGTAATAGAATAAACAGCTTACTGTGCCTCTCGTCCCATAGGGCTTCCGTTGCCTAGCAACAGTGGGCAGCTTGTCACGGCATTATGAAGCCACTTTTGCTAGCATGCTATTCTTGCTAATCCTTTTAGTTTACACGCTGCTCACCAGGTTTTTTTTTTTTTTTTACTGACCTTTTACTTTGTTTTTCTACTTGAACATATTAACTATGCCACGCCATTTGGATTTAAAACGAAGAATGTGCATGCCATCTATGTGTTAGCCAGATTCATGCTAACTGTACATGCTTCAGACAACTTAAGTGTGTTTGGTGTTTAGCACCGCTGGCTAGGGGTGCTAACTCTGCGTAGCTACACAGAATTCGTGCAGAACCACTTTATATTGCGCTGGGAGATATGTGCATATTGATATTGCCTTCACTGCAATAACCTTATAAATTGTATTACATGGAAAATTGTCTTACCACAGCCGATAGTTTGTTCCCTGCTAGGTGGTGTACTCAGACTCTTCCCTAGCAGGACACTCAGACTGATGCCCATAACTTGGAGAGGATTGTTTTCAGGATGTGCAGTGAGCACGCGCAGGGGTCCTGATTTGAGAATTTAACAGAGCGGCCATAATAAAAGCTGGCAGCTTGGCATGAAGAATTAACTACACGAATCATATTTGTAATTATAACGTTTTCTAAAGCATCCGTATTGTAGAGGAATTTGTTCAGCAAATGAGAAAAGACGTGACCGGGTTTTTTTTTAATATAAAACATTCATAGACATCGACTGGTATGTGGAAATGTGGAAAGGTTTCTGTCGAATGTAAAAAGAAGTCCATTCAAAGTCAATTCGCTGATTCGCAAGTAGCAACAAGACTCACAAAAGCACTGAATGAAGTGGTTGTTTAAAAACAATTTATTGAAATCATATTAAAATTAATAAACATTCCTTTAAAGTTTAAACAATGGCTTTCAGCTTACATTGGCATGTTTTCTTTACAGTAATTTGGTTAGCTACATTTTTGAATATCTTGCTCAAAACTGGATATAACCTATTAAAATGACAGATTATTTATTATTGTTATTTCATAGAATCATAAGACGTCTACTTGTTGAGTGAGCATAACTCTTATAAATGCGCGTTTGTTTGGTATTTTAATGTTTGAATAATTTATCTTCACCCCCAAAATTCAAAGACACTCTGCACTCGTTACATTTCAGTTGTAATGAAGTGACGGGTAATGGAAAAATACTCCTGGTCAACAGCGAGTGAGTAAACGAGTGCAAATCAATTCTTCTGTTTACTGTAGTCTTGCCAGCATCCTCGCCGAGTGCAGACAGGGGGAGCACGTGCAGTTTCACACACACACACACACACACACACGAGTGCCGTGTGCAAAAATTGACAAACGGATGACAAATAGTTACATGGCAGAAAATAAAACTTTCATAAATTCAAAAATTGCCTCTCCGCGAACATCTTCTAAAGATGCCCTCGATGGGCCTGTATCTGCTTAAATGATAACTTATTTATGCTCAAATGCGTGCTTATTTTAATATTTAATAGGGTAGGAGCCTACCACTTTGCTTTTTTTACAAACTAAAGGCATTAAAGAAGCTCAAAAACTGAGCAAGTATGACAAAGTATGGTCTTTTATAGTTCTCCTTGATTCTATGAAAAAACTTAATGCTATTAAAAACAAGAAGATCTTTCACCTCCCAAAAAGAAAATAACATACAAAAGCATCGAATTATATAATCACATAAACACTCCGCAATCAATATTCAGCCGGTGGAGTGGAAATGGTAGTTATATAATCGTATAAATAACACATTGATGTGACAGGGTGGGAATGGTGATTCCTGATTGTTTGATAGTTTGCACCCAGTTTCATTAATGAGTCACCGTGTGCAGGCTGGAGCGGGCGGGCTTTTGCACTCGGTCTGTGTGCAGTCCGAGCTGTATAAAACCAGCGCGCGATCAGTTCACTGGTACCTGCCACATCAACTCATTCACAAACTGAGTGAAGCGAGATTTCTGAGGGACTTTTGGGCTGTTTAAGGATACTCTTGAGGAAAAATGGATCCTTGCGATTGCGCCAAGAGTAAGTGTTTCAGATTTAGATTGATGCTGACTTTTTTTGAGTGCTTGAACATGCGGTTACTATAGACTTGCTACCAGCATGTCAACAACATGCAACTTTAAAAAAAATATATATTTTTTTTTTAAAGCTGGATCTTGCAACTGTGGTGCCAACTGCAAGTGCACTAATTGCCAGTGTACAACCTGCAAGAAGAGTACGTGAACTACTACAACCCAGTATTGATAACCGATTACTTATCCACTTAAAAAAAAATAAAATAAAAATCAGGTGGTTAAATCTATTTGTTTTCACAGGTTGCTGTCCGTGTTGCCCGTCTGATTGCAGCAAGTGCGCCTCTGGCTGCGTGTGTAAGGGCAATTCCTGCGGCTCCAGCTGCTGTCAGTGAGGAGGTCAACGTGACGTTTTGCTACAATGTGAACTTGTTTGTCTGTGCTGCGCGTCTTCGTTTTCTGAATCGCATGAATGATTTTTTTTTTTTTTAAAACAAGATAAATGACCTCCAGTTTTTCTCTCCAAATCTTTTGACTGTTTAATGTTGCAAAATCGCTTAACAAATGCTAAAGAGGGAAATAATTCACTGATTTTGTACTGCTACAAATAAGACCATCACAAGCTGTCTGTTCTTTATAAAAGGACAATTGTAAGTTTTTCTGCAATGCGTTTTGTCTACAATATATAAATGTCAGCAGTTACTGGTGTGTGGCTTTATTTCACAGCTTTCTTGTATTTATGAACTCCAACAGCCGTGGTGGATAAAGTATTTAAAATCCACACTTAGAAGTATTTCTTACCAGAAAATGACTTTGGTAGCAGTTAAAGTCACGGTTTAAAATTTTAATTGAGTAAGTTTTTAAAGTATGTGCTATTTAGGTTATACTGAGATTTACAAGTTCATTGAAAAAAAAAAAAAGTCTGTTGCCAAGAAAACGTCAGTAGCCCCAGAATGTGCGTTACTCATAGCAATGTCTTGCATTCCTTCAGATTGTCTTACATGTCATAAGTAGAACTGATTATTTTTTTTTTTTTTTTTTTTTTAAACTATTAAACTTCAGTATTTAAAGTAATCTCAAAATGGGAAAAAAAGCAAATATTAAAAGTTGTTCTACACAGTTTGAGCAGCAAGATTGTGCTCAGTTCTAACGCTTCCATTTTTATCTTTGGGTTATAACAACCCCTTCATCTGGTACAAATACTCTTTAATTTCAACAAATTTTTTTTTTCTAAATAAATTGGCATCTGAAGTAGCATTTAGATTCGTTTACACAGACCGTTTAATGCAGGTCAGAGGGGACATGGATGCATTTAACCAGCAGTTACAAATGCATTTCTTTTTTTAAATGTTGAATAGGCCTATTGATATTTGAGAAGCTTGAAATAGGCTTGAAATGTGAAATTAAACCCGCCAGTAGCTGGCGGCAAGTTACTGTTAATGAAGGAGTCATTGAGATTAAATAGATTCATTCAAAAGGTTGATTCATTCAGGAATGAAACATTTGACACTTTTAATGAGTGAGTCACTGAATCATTCGTTCAAAAAAAACAAAAAACCGGTCATTCATAAAAACGCGTCCTTCAGTGGCGCAAAATAGTGCCGTTTGGAACTCTTTTTCTGAGCGAAATTCAGCAAAAACCGGCATCTAAAATGTAAATAGCCTAAATTAATACTAACATTAGACTTGTAAAAAATCAATATTACATTTGTTATCATGCTGATATCTGGAGAAAAAAACGACACTCAGTGTGATATAGATTAAGTATATTAAATTATATAAATATAAAAGACAAACAGAGGCATTTTGCCTCATATCTTGAATCTTATGGGCATTCTAAATGCGTTTTAAAGGGGTCATACGATGCAATTTCAAGTTTTCCTTTCTCTTTGGAGTGTTACAAGCTGTTTGTGAATAGAAAAGATCCCTAAAGTTGCAAAGACTAAAGTCTCAAACCCAAAGAGATATTCAAAACTCGCATTTGAATCATCAGTGGCAAATCCTTTAAATATGAAAACGTACTTACAAGCTGTGAGTCAGCATTATTTGTCAGAAAACCGGCATTGTAGGCTACTCTCTTAGGAAACAGCCCTCGTCCTCCATAAAATGCGTTGCACACACATGAATATATGGGTTGAACTGTTCTGGAACAGTGTTGTAAATACAACTTAAACATTTGGGCGGTGTTATGCAAATCTTGTGGGGGCGTGTTTAAACGAGGCGTTTTAGAAGGGAGTGGACGAGTCTTAACTTTTATAAAGAATACCTCTTTGGGTTTGAGACTTTAGTCTTTGCAACTTTAGGGATCTTATCTATTCACAAACAGGTTGTAACACTCCAAAGAGAAAGGAAAACTTGAAATCGCATCATATGACCCCTTTAAACCGCATAAACACATTTCATTACACCAAATACACAAAAGAATGTTCTTTTTTAGCAACGTCATATGACCCCTTTAATAGACTATATCACACAGTGTATGCGTGCACTCTCTGAGTGTGTATTTGTTTGGTTTTTGTGATATAGGCTACTCGATAATGTCAGATCGCACATCATTAAAATAACACTTACGATATTAGCACAGCGCAGACGATTTATATCGCACACCCCAGTCTCGACCTGAGTGGAAAATGAAAAAAGAGGCCTTGTCTTGAGTGAATCCTTGGTGTTTCTTGGTGTTTGACATAACGACCTAAGTTGTTTTAATATGAAAAATACCACTACAGTGATGAGGAAAAATAAAATGATATTCAATTGATGGGTTGCAGATAGCAGGGAAAAACCATGATAAATGCAAAGAATAATGCATCTGACCATATTAGGCCTATATGGTTAGAATGATGGAATGGACTTTATCAACTGCTGTAGGCCAATTAAAAAAGAGTAAATGCTTTCTATGTCTGGGTGTGACCAATGAATTTCAACGACTTTTGCACTTTTGTTTTGTGAGTTTGTGACAAGTAGTTAAGAATTAAAAAAAAAAAAATGTATGGAGCTTGCACTAGAAAGAAAAATGTCTAGCCAATTAAATACTTTAGACCAGAAGGGGGTCTAAATGTCCGTATTTTGGTACGTTTCGTTTGTTAGTTAAATGAAGCAGATGCCAACATGGACAGGCTGCATGATATATCCTCATGGAGTAAGTAATGATATGAAATATGAATTTAATATCAGTATAATTTAGTATTATTAGTAGTACAATTTATTAGTATAAATAAATTATACTAATTCAATTCAATTAATATAATTTAGTATTATTATTTATAATAATTATAATATGTATATTATACTTCATATATCACCAGTGTTGGGCTAGTTACTCAAAGAATGTAATATATTACTCATTACTAGTTACTCCTTTCAAAATTAATATTGTTACTTTACTTATTACTTTCTGGCAACAGTAATTAGTTATACTACTAGTTACATTACTTTTTCTTCACGCCCCACAGAACTTGTAACTGTGTATCTTACACATAAATTCTTAATCTAGAATGTTACTAACAATATATTTCTGCCTCATCATTTGACCAAAATCCACATTGGATCGCAGTCAGAAGTTATTACAAACACTCAATAGTGATTGATAGTGACATTCAAGTAGAAGTGTTGTATTAATCTCATTAATTGTCATGTGTAGCTTGAAGCTAATATGTAATTTTTCCGTTACCCATATACGATTATATTTCATTATGTATTTTATCAAATCACATAAGTTTGTAAGAAACTGTTTAATTTTCCAAAAAGATTTTTAATTATAGTAATATAATGTACCACATGCTGATCAGAGGGATGTGGGTGGGATGTAATGCCAGAGTAAAGTAAAGCCACAATTTACACAACAGTGTTCAGATCATCTTTTTTCCTGACAAAATCAATATAATGCAATATTTCTATCTGCTGAATGTACGCTTTTCCATATTCCAAGCTTGCCTGCTGCACTGGGGACATCACATGCATGTGCAAGTCGTGAAAATTATGAAAATAAATCTAGGAATTATTTGATTGTTGGATTTTAAATCAGCGGGGTTGAGGCATCAAAAGAAACGAAGTAACTAAGCTGTTTTATGGATGTAACTGTAATATTATTACTGAAATCTTATTAGTAATTAGTTACACTACTAGTTACTGCAAAAAGTAATATTATTACAGTAACACTGTATATCACTTAATTATTTATCATATGCACCATTATATATCAAGTATATTGGACATCGCGGTATCATCACCGTCAGGGTTCAGTCAAATGGTTTTCCAAGTCTTATCTTACTGAAATTGAGTCGCTGATATAATTTTTTGTAAACAGAAGCATCTGAATAAAGTTCTATCGAGTCGCGCGTGCTTCTGGGAAAAACCAGTTTGAACCAATCAGCGCGCGTTCTCAATGGAACCCGGGAGTTCACGAGGGGGAATGTGTTTAGCATAGCGGCTAAAGTGGAAATCATCCTATTATAGCCGCTATAAGGATTCACATTCAGCGAGGTGGGTTGTTACATATTCGTTAACTAATTAACTAGTTAACAGCTAGTTAAATTAAGTCTCATTTGACAGGTGTCTGTTTGGGACGCGTTTGCCAAAAGCACCTCATGTCAAGTTAGCTTGCTAGCAAGTGACAGTCATTTCTATTGACTACTGTTGTTTCACATGCTAACATTCATTCAGTGTTATACTAATATTGTGTGGTTTTATGTCCCATTTCATAAAAGATAGTATGCTAAATAAATGAGTACGTAATGATACAGCTTATTTGACGTTATTAATTGTAGTTAATCATGTCACTGGCATCCCAAAGTTAACATGATAATGGTATGTAATTTCAGTGAAAGTCCCACAGTTACTACTGTACAATCATAATAAACTGACATTGAATGGCCTTCAAATTGTAGGTTTGTCAATATAATAAGCTTTTAGAGTTTCTTTCAGTGTTATTGTAATGACAAGAGCTGTAGTAAGTGATAATTTGCTAACAGTTAGTTACTGTTAACTTACATACTGAAGACAAATGATATGCATGTCACCATGTAATATAGACATACTCTTTCGTGGTGCTGTCAGGTGGCACGGATACTGGACATGGATACTGAGGGCTTTGGGGAACTCCTGCAGCAGGCAGAACAGCTTGCTGCAGAGACTGAGGCCGTGTCGGAGTTGCCCCATGTTGAGCGAAACCTACAGGAGATCCAACAGGCAGGAGAGCGTCTACGTTCCCGCACTCTCACCAGAACCTCTCAAGACACAGCTGACGTAAAGGCGTGAGTTTTCAGTTTGGTGTCTGTATGTAAATTGGCATGACACTTCAATTTATTTGAAGTAATTTGAAGTAATCAGCATACTCTTTATATCTGTATTGTTATTTTTTTTAAACTTCAGCTCCATCCTATTGGGCTCTCGGGGTCTTGACATCTTCCATATCTCCCAGCGTCTTGAGAGTCTCAGTGCAGCCACTACATTTGAGCCTCTTGAGCCAGTCAAGGACACTGATATTCAGGTTAGTGCATGTTTTACTTGGGTTGGTGTTTGTATTCCTAGTTGCTTTTGATACTTTATATACTTTATATCTCCCCACTGCATCCATGGAGATGCAGCTGTTTAATGTCATATATTTAGCTACAAATTGTTTGAACTGTAGCATCTGTTGGAATCAAAGTGCTTTAATTATATGGATGTACACTACCAATAAAAATAACTTATTCAAAAGTTTG